TATTAATATCTCTAATATTTTACTTAGTATATTTACTAGTATTTTCTCTAGGGTCTTTGATATAATATCTATTATTCTATTTATTATCTTATCTAATATTATATTTAGTATATTAATAATCTTATCTAGCTGGCTTATATATTTTTTATTATCAAGATTTCTGAATATTCTCTACTCTGGACTACTCTCTAAAATATAATTTTTTATTTATATTTTTATTATCTAGTATTACTGTTTTATTGGCAGGCTATCTCAAGTATAATAAATATAATGAATATAATTTTAATTATTTCTGATATAATTCTCTTTAAAATAATACTGGGAGATGCTTATACTAGACTTATAAAAACTTTAATAAATAATATAATAAATAATTTGAATAATAATAATATATCAGAATTGATTATTTATTTTATAAATTATTTTTCTACATAAGCAAAAAACTCAACTTATAATAACTTAAAATATAAATAATATAATCTTAAGAGAAGCTTTATTAAATAAGAATCTAAAGATTCTATAATATAATATTTAATATTTATTTAATAAAGTCATGAACTTACTATTATAAGATAAAAAATATAAAACTAAATAATAATTATAATCTAAAAACTATAGATTAATATCTGTAGTAAAGATTTCGAAATATATTTTTTAATAAAAATCAGGAACTGCTTTACTCAGATATAATTTAATAAAAAATAATCTGTATCTATATATATATATATATATTTATATATATTATTATTATTAGAATTTAAATAATTTCTAGATAAATTCCTAGATATACCCCTGAGCAGATTTTGTAAATATGATTATTAATTTTTATATGTGATATTTATAATTTTCTGTGGATAGAAATAAATAAGGGAATCTATATTTTACTTAAAATTTTGAATATATATAATTAATATTAAATATATTATAGTCAGGAATTCTAATATATATATAATCTTTTCTAGATAGGGCTAAATTATCTTTCTATAGCTAAGAATAATATAGAATATATTTAAAATTCAAAACAGCTCATCGAGTAGTATCTATTTATTTATATAATTTTTATTATAGACCTGGATAATAGCAGATTAGAAAATAATGTAAAAAATAATATAGATAATAATATAGATAATAATACTAGAAATAATATGAAATCACTAGAAACTTAATTTAATATAACTATTAATCTCTGTATAATATCATGGAATATAAAAAATTAAATTAAATATATAAATATAATAAATATATATAAATATTTGTATTATTTATTAATAAAAATTAAATTTATTATCTTCTTTCTGTCCTGCAAGAGTAAATCTTACTAAAACTAGAAAAATCTAAATATTGTCATTTTAAATAAGATTATTTATAAATATTTACTGATATTAATTATAAATATAATTAAAAATACTATATAGCTTGATTAATATATAATAAATATTATAGAAATTGTTATTCTAGTTATTAATCAGGCAGTTTCTTAAATCTATCTGAATTAATAAATAAGATCTAGTTTTAATAAAGTCTATTGAGAATTACTATAGTTAAATATACATTTTAAATAAAATATTATAGATTATTATATATATTTCAGCTACAAGGCTCTATAATGAATATATATTATATATTTTAAATATCCAGAATATGTAAATATACTGTATATAAAAATTATAAGATAATTTATTAATAGTAAATCACAGATATTAATAATATAATCTTTATATAAAAAATTATATTAAAAATTAAAAATAGAAGGCTTACCAGATATATATATTATTATTAAAAAATTTAAATAATATATATTATCTCCTGGAAGAGAAGATAGAAATCTTAATAAATATTTTCTTTTTGTTTTTTTAATAGTTAATCTTAATAATATCTATAATTTTTATTATTTTAAGCTAATTAAAATACTCCTGTTTAATAAATATAAAACAAATTAAATTATTGAAATATTTAATAAAGTTTCTGATTTAAATATAATTTTTAATTAAATATTACAGGCTGCTATTAAAATCCTGATTTTTATATTAATTAATCTCTTTAATTATTATATTAAAATTAATTATTATCCTGCTTATTTTGTGAGATAAAAATAATAATTTTTTATAAATTTAATTAATTTAATTTTTTTATATTAAAAATTTATTAATAAATTATACTATTTAATACGTTTAGCAAGATTATAGAGAATTTACTTATAAATTAATTAAATTATCTAGTTAAAATCTACAGACTGCTTTTAAATAATTATTTTAAAAATTATAAAAATCAAGATATAAAAACTATTTTATATATTATACTAGAAGTTATATATATGAGATAAAAAATAGAAAATATAATTTTTATTTTTTTAAAATATTTTTAGAATTTTTAATATATCCCACGAGCGGCTGCTATATAATTTTTATAAATATTATATTTTATTTATATATATTAACTAATTTTAAAGCTTTCTGTAATAATATTATATGATATTAATTTTATTAAAATATATTATCTTATATATTTAAATTAATATAAGTATTCTACAAGGATCACTGCTTTTTTTAATCTTATATATTTTCTATAATATGTAAATATAAATATCATAATATAAGAGAACTTTTCAAATAATATAAATAATATTAAATATATTAATAATATAATTATAATTATAAGGGGTCTTATAGAAGGACAGAATTATAAAATTTTAATTGATTTTATTTTTATTTCCCGTGGAATAGGCAGACAGAGAAATTTATTATTTTTAAATTAAATTTTAAAAATAATAGTAGAAAATACAGAGAATTATTAATATTAAAATAATTATAGATTTAAAAAATTTAAGTACTAAACTAGATTATAAATATATTTATATATATAAATATTTATTAATATTATTATATTTATTTTAATTTTTTGTTGCACAGCCTGCTCAAACTAGTAGAAAATAACTTTTTTCTTATTATAAATATTAATATATAAGATCTTGAGATATATATTCTATAACTGATTTTTTATAATAATCATTATTCTAAATTTTTATCACTGGAAATAAAAATAAGTTAATTCTTAGATATAAAATATAAAAGCTAATTATTTTTAAAATTATTTAAATTTATATAAATAGCTCTAGTATTAACAGCTGTATAAATATAATTATAATATATCTAGATTTCTTATTAATTTAATAAGTTTATCTCAGTATATAAATAGAATAAAATATTTTAATTATAGAAATAGCTAGTTTACTACTAGTTTTCTATTTAATTAAGTAAAATTTTACTTTTTCTAAAAAGAAGTAGTATCTAATGTATTTCTTTATTAATTAATTCTAGATCAAGATTTATCCTAATAATTAAAAAATATTAAAAATACTTTAGAAGCCAGCTTAAAAATCTAGCTAATATCTATTATTAAAAATATTCAAGTTATATAATAAATTAATGTAGATTTTTAATATTTATTATTTTTGGATTACTACTTATCTAGAAGTTATAAAGAATAAATTTATTAATATTAAGATTAATTAAATTATTAGCTAGTAAGAGATAAGATTAAAAAAATTAATTTCTAATTAATTTTATTATTTTAATAAAATCTTTTACTTCTGCTTATATCCTGCTAGATATATAGATTAAAAAAGAATAGAAAATATTCCTGTACAGATATTATTTATAAAAATTATTATTAAAATTTATTTTTTATAATACAGTCTTGTGTAATAATCTTTCTCTAATTAAATAAAATATTATTATATAATTTTATATAAAAAATTAGTTTTAATATCTATATATATAATATTAAAAATATTAATACAGACTCCTGCTTATACAGGGATCTGGAAATAATATTTTATATATTAATTATATATAAAAATATAATATACTTTAAAAAAATATAAAAATGTAATATAGATACTAAGATTATTACTATTATATAAGACCTGGCTGTACTTCTTGATCTTATAAATATTTTATTATTAAAATATATATAATAAACAGCCCGCTTTATACTTTATATAAATAGACTAATATATTTTAAAAATTTTATTTTCTTTACAAAGATAATTACTAAGTTAAAATTCATAAATAAAATAGTAAATAAAATAATAAGTAATTATTTAAAAAATATTCAGATATATATACAAATACTGAATATAACAGATACTGTAGGAACAGTATAACAGATAGTAAGAAACTAATAAATAAATAAGTAAATAAGAAATTTAATAAAAGAATTTCATAAGAATATTAATGTGATATTTACTTGTCAGGGTAGAAGGCCTGTTGACTAGGTAAGGAATCAACCACTAAATATAATGGATTCATCTAATAATGACAAAGGTAGCCTATATCCACGAGATAAACTGATTCTTGCGGGATCAGTAGTCTCCTGTAAAGAAATCAGTATTTTATAGATATTAATAAAATACAGAACCATTATTAATAATCTTATAATTTTTAGAATTATTATAATATATCATCCCGACGTCTAAGACTTTGACAGCTAGATTATTTTATTTATAAATAATACTTTTTTTCACTGGAGCGAGCTATCTGACTCAGATATTAAAGATAATTTTATATATCCCTGATTCAGAATAGTAGTAGATTTATAATAAAAAATAGAGATACCAGAAATACACACCTGGAATAGTATTATATAATAATTCTATATAATATTATCAGTATTATATATATTTATTATTATTAGATAATTTACAAGGGTGCAGAGTTTTTATAATATATTAAAATATAAATATAATATTTTTATTATATATTCTTTTTTTTTCTACAGTTTTTTTCTTTTTAGTATCTAAGTATGTAGTCTTCTTTATTATTTTTTCTTTTTTTTAATTATATTTAGTTCTTTATTCTATATTATCTTTATTATCTTATTATTAAATATCAGTCTTATTCTTAATTATTTTATAATAATTAAAAGAAAAAAGTATTTTAAGCAGAATATTTCCATCAGAGCTTGCTATAACTTTTATATATATTATTTAAAATATATAAATAAATTACTACTTTAATTCTAAAAGAATATTTCTATATAATATTAGTTATCTACTAGATATAAAGATATTTATTTTATATTATTTCTGTTCCAAAGAGAAGAAGATTTATAATTTAATAAATTTTATATACTCTGTATTATATATATATAATTTATTAATATTTATTAAGCCTGTGACTGGCTTTTTAAAAAATATTTATAATTTTATTAAGATTATTAAATAGGCTGCTGTTATCTTAAATAAAACATATTAAAATAATAATATAAAATAAACTATTTATAAAGAGATCTATATTCTTATAAAGATATTTAATAATATAAAAAATACTTATATTTATAAATTCTTATTAAAGAGTACCAAAACCATAAAATATATAAGTTCTTATTATAATTAAAAAGTATATTCTTTGTAATCTTATTATTAATATTTTATTAAAGATTTATTACTGAGTATACTAAGTTTATTAAAATCTATTATATTTTATTAATTTAATTAGTTCTTTATTCTGGTCTCCATGCTTTTCTTAAAAATTATAATATTTATAAAATAGAAATACTGTTATATTTATTACTAGATAATTTTAAATATATAAATTAGATTTCTGTTTTATAAAATTTTCTTAACTCTATAAAAGTTATAGCATATATTAATATCTAGATATTAATAATTTAAAAACAGTTTTGGATAATAAGAATAATATTATTAAATTAATAATAGATTTTTATATTTTTTTCTTAAGTTGACTTTCCTGGTTAATATTTTTGAGCTATAAAAAAATCTAATTATTATTATTATTTAATTTATAAACAGATAATAAATATAATTAAATATATTTAAATATTTTTTACTACTGTATAGCAGGATAATTTATATTTATTAATATATTTAATTTATGATAATATAATTAATAAATAATATTAACAGGTTAATATTCCTATAATTTATTTTTAGAGAGTATAAAGTAATTTATTAATAGTTATCTTATAATTTTTTAATATATTATGTTTCTTATGGGATTTCTAATATTATTTTATAATTTTAAGTATATTTTCTATATTTTTACTAGAAATTTATTAGTTATATTTACTTAGCTATTTTTTCTATTTAATTAGATAATAATCTTAACTGTTATAATATTAGTAGTCTATAATTTCTTTAATTTTTTATTTATTTTTATTATCTAGTTCTGGTATCAGGAGTAGTTCTTTATAATTTTAACTAATATTTTATAATTTTAGTAAAGAAATATAGAATATATTATAAATCTATTTATATTTCTTAGATAAATATAAGCAATACACTTAGAATCTGATATATTTAAAAATCCGAAAAGATTTTATAAATTTTAGAACTAATTTTCTTAATTCTTTAAATTATAAATTCTGGATTAATAACTTTGTTAAATCTTTCTAAAGAAGAATAATCTTCTGTACTTATTATAATATTTTTTTTATTTTTTATAACTGTTTATTATATTTTTTATAATTATTCTCTTATTTTATTAAGCTTCTTAATTTAATCCTGTATAGCCGGGATTTTTTACTAATAAAAATTATTTTTAATTCTGAGATAAAAATCTAGTAAATAATTATATAGAATATTATAAGAAGATAGACCCGTGATTATATTGTTTATGTTATTAGAAATAAATTAAGTAATTAATAATATAATAGGCCAGTTAATGTTAAATTAAATAAAATAATATTAAAAATAATATTTTAGAATCTGATTTATCCGTTCCGTTTAGCTATTAGTTTAAGAATAAAATATTATTAAAATTTTCAAGATTATATAGGTATTATAAACTAAATTTAACTAGAATTTTTTTATAAAGATTAATTCTTGATTAAATATAATATCTATTAAAAATCTAAAAATTAATTTAATTTATTTATAAAATAGTTTGGTGAGGTCTGGAGCAGTTATTATTAATAAAATAATAAAAAAAACAGTATTTTAAGAATAAATTAATAATAATAAGAATAGTATTAATAGTTCTTTTATATTGAATAACTGGAGATAGTTCTATGATAAAATTTATTATTAATTTAATAAAAAAATAAAATAGAATTAATAGTAATTTAAAATTATTATATAATTAATATTTTAAAGTAGTATTGTCTTAATATATTAAGCAAGTTTAGATATATTTAGTTATATTATGATATAATTTATTTTAATAGAATTTTCTTTATAGCAGTGCTTCTATTTATATTTTTCTAAAATATTTTATTATAAATTATCATAGTATAAATAAATAAATATTTAGTATAATATCTCAGAGAATAGAATATAATAACAATTTTTAAAATATAAATAATCTATAATTTTAATGATCCAGTATTTTTAGTCTAGTTATTTTTATTAAATAATAATTTTTTACTATTATATCTCTAGTTCTTTATTTTATAAATATAAAATTATTTCTTAAAGCTCAGAATTACATGTATCTGAATATAAAACTTATATAATATATATTTATAATATTATAAATTAAAGAATAAATTTCTTTTAAAATAAATTTTTTTAAATAATTTAATCAGCTGTTTCTATACCAGCTTAATTATTAGAATTCTTTAAATTTAATATAATACAGGTATTGAATCCAGGATAATCTTATATATTTTAAAATTTAAACTAAGATTTCTTTTTAATTAAGTTTCTTATTATTAGAAATAATATATTTATGAATTACTCTTAAATCAGGATCAATAATTTTTTTTATTTTATATTTAATAATAAAATTATAAGAGATTAGACTTATAAGCTAATAAGTTTATTTTTTATTCAATTTAGTTTAATACATGAAAAATTATAAATTTAAATAATTAAATAAAATTTTTATTTTCTGGAAAGCATCTTTAAAATATTATTATTATTATTTATTTTTATAAATAATAATAAATAATTCTTAATCTGAAATATTATAATTTAACTTAGTATTAGAGAACTTACAAGACTAGAAGATAATTAAATAAAATATATTTTTATTCTTAAATTAGAATAAAATATTATTTATTTCTTTTTTTAATATATCAGTTTTTGAATATCAGAATTTCATAGAATTAAAGTATATTAGTAAAGAAGCTTACTAAAAAATAGTAATTAAATAATAAAAAAAACTGTTTATATATATTTAAATAAAATTTCTTAAATTCTTGACTGTTAACTGCTCTACAAAATAGAGAAATAAGAAATAAAATAATTTATAAATAATCTCAAATAAATTAATAGTAAAAATTATAGAATTCTAGAAAGATCTAGATATCATAGTAACTTTTAGAAATTAATTATAAGATAATATTATTTATTTATTAAGGATCTATAAATACTCTATTAATATTAATAATATATTCTAAGAATTTAATTTAGAATTGGTAAAATAAATATTTAAATAACTTTATATAAAGTTAAGCTTTTTATAATTTTTCTAACACTTAATGAATATGCCTTGTATAAGATTTTTTATTTAATAAAAAAATAAAAATATTATCTAGATATATTATATAAAAGTTATTAAGAAACCCATGAAGTATCGTATATATATAATTTTAGAATATTATAGAAATATTAATTAGCTTAAATAGTATAATAGTATATTTAAAATGATTATATTAAATATAAAATATTATCTTTTATTTATTATCTTTTTTAATATAAATTCAGTAATAAGTATCTTTAATATTAATTTTTAAGAAATATTTACTGTCTGAGACTTTATCAAGAATCTTTAAAATAAAAAATAAAAAATAATAATTTTTAATAAAAATCTTATTAAGGCCCCTGTCATCTATATAAAGATATAAATTATTATTTTTTTTAAATATAAAAAGAATAAAAGTTCTTGCAGGACTTTTAAAAAATTAAATTTAATTTAATTTTAAATTTTTTTAATATATTCTCATAAAATCTTAAGTTCAGTTTCTGATAGAGAATATATAAGATTATAAGAAAATATTTTATTAAATCTAATATTAATAACATGGTCTGCAGGGCTATAAGAAAAAAGTTATTAAAAAAAATTTATAAAAAATATATTTCAGAATTCTTAAAGCTTGATTAGGATTATTTCTAGATTTAAAAATAAATTAAAAAATCTTTTCTCCGGTAGTTAAATATCTTTAGAAAATTTAATAATAATATATACTTTTACTGAGTTTTAGATTATTTTATTAAATTAGATAGTAAAAAAGAATAAATAATATACTGAATTATTATTATCAATTTTATATTGATAGATTAATATAAAGATTTTAAAATATAGTTATTAATAATAGAATCAGACTATTTTCTAAGAAGAATCTTAGTTAATTTTTATATAATATTATTTAAAAGTACAGGTGTTCCCCCGTGAATTAATAATAATAATAAAATCTTTCTATATATTATAAATAGAAGTAGTGATTTAATTAATAACTTTAATTTTAAATATAATAACTGGAATATATTAAAGATTATAAATCTTAATAAATTAATAATTAATAATATTTACTTTAGTATAATTATCTAAATCTATAAAGATTTCAAGACTATTTTAAATATAAATAAAAATATAGAAATAATAGATAGTTTTTAATATAAATAAAGAAGTTAAAATTATAGAATTTATTTTAACTTCTTTACTTTTCTCTCAGAGTCTGATAAATATTAGTAGGCTTTAATAGATTAAATCTTCTTATTTTCAGTAAAATATTAATTTATAAAATACTAGATATTATTATATATAAAGTATTATAAATAATTACTATCTCTTCTGGTAGAGTTTTCTTTGCGGTTTAATATATTTTTTTAATTAATTTATTAAGATAATCTTGGAAATACTTATATAATTTATAATTATTAGATTAATTATTATTTTATTTATATTTTTATCTATTACTTTATAATTTATAATAATAAATAATAATAAGTATTATTTCATCCTGTTCTTCTGGTAAATAGAAAATATATTTTTAAATATAATAATTAATATTAGATAATGATTTAATAAAGTATAATAAAGTTCTTTCTTTCTCTGCCTGATAAGAGAAGTATTATTTTAAAATATTATAAAAATATATATCTTTTTTAGATCTTAATTATATTACTGGTAAATCTATTTAAATTAAATTATAATATTTAATTAAAGAATAGCAGTATTCCAGATTAAAATAAGAATCTAATTCTTGAATTAAGATTATGATTTTTTAAAAAATTATCTTATTTCTAGATTTTTATTATTAATAAGATAATATTATTTCTACCTGCATGCAGGGTCTATATAACTAATAATAATAAAAATCTTATATTTTTTTAATAAATATTTTTTAGAAGCCCCCTAAAATATATATTCTAAATCAGTAATTTATTTCTAATACTTTTAGAGATTAAAGTTTAAGATAAAGCAGGAAATATCTTTAAATTTAATTTTTTTTATTTTTTTCTAATTCAGAAAAGAATTAGTAATTTTTAGAGAATGTCACGGGGCATACTGGGTGCGCATTCCAGGTACTTCCCGCTGCACTATTAGCAAAAGGACTAGGATGTAAAGCCGATGGCTTTACACTGCGCACACTATATAAGGGTATTCAGGAACAGGATTCAGGCAGGATTCAGGCAGGCACCGTGACAGAGAAGATCTTATCTAAAAAATTATTTCTTTGGAGATAGGCTATTCTTTTTTATAAACTAGTAATTTATCTTAATTAATAAATATGATTTTTTAACTGTTAGATTTCCTCAGTAATAAGAATAATATTTAATAATAATTTAGAATTAATATAATTATTAAATTTTTTTTTCTTTATTATT